TGCTTTTTGGCCAGCTTTCCTTTTAGTCTGGTATTAGACTAGACTTTATTAAGATAGCATCTCCACTTCAGTCTTAGTGACTAAAGTACAAACCTTCTTTGTGGTACAAACCCCAGTGATACCTGATTCCTAAGTACAACAAACTAGACTCCTGAATCTTACTTCCTATAATATGTAAATCAAGAGAAAACAGTGAAAAAAAAGAAGGAAAGAAGCAGTTCAGCCTTTATATATGATAACAAATTTATGTATTTACATGATAGAACACTTAATACAAACCACACTAACAAACACTGGGCCTAAAGAGACTTCTCCTCTATAACAGAAAGAGTATAGCAGGGTTTGGAGGTCTGGGCCAAGTTGCTGTCAGGAGAGTAATACAGAAACCCGAACCTTTAAACAGCAGGATGGCATGGAGGAGCCAATCAGCAGCAAACACATCGATAGGCAAGCCCAAGAATCAAGCCATTCAGAACAGAGCCATTGAAGCCTACAGAAGGATCTTCAAAGATCCTCAAATTGAAAGATGTCACACTATTACAAAAGATTTGGATAAAAACCGCAATAAAGGACACACACTACGTCACATATGACCCAGATGCAACAATGCAAAGATGTACAGATTTGAGAAACTGAGTCTTCCCATCATGTGGGTTCTAATAAGAAGCACATCTTTTACTCATTCCAGCACTCATTTATAGAATATTTGAAGAGAAGGGTTAAAGTCCCTCCTCTGGCATATTGTTTAACTGATTGCACAACAAGAGTTCAGGTCATGGGAGCTTACACACCGTTTAACGCCCAACACCGGCTAAACAGGACCGACAAGCATATAACTGAAGAAGGTGAGAACAACTGACATGTCTTTCAAACTTACCTATTTTTGTGCACATAGCTTACAATGTTACTACTTTTGAGGTAGTTGATTATGGAAGACAGAAGAAGAAACATAAAAATGTGCATGCAGTCTCATGTTTGTGCATGAAACATGTCTGACTCACAGTGTCTTTCCATACCCAAGTGTTCAGTAATGGTTCGACGTGTGGCAGTAGTTGGAGCAGGCTGTTCTGGTTTGGCCTGTATCAAGATCTGTGTGGATGAGGGGCTCGAGCCTGTCTGCTTTGAAAGCAGTGATGACATTGGTGGCATGTGGAATTTTAGAGTAAGTGGGGGCACAACCACATTGCAAAGTTTGATGATTGTTCTTACTGTTGTTGAATCCTGTTATTACTGTATATGGAGAAAGGGTTTAGCTTGTCCACAACAATCATTATAAACACTGCATTAAAGTGTAGAATGGTTGCAGAGAGATGTTTTTACCTGCTTTGCTCTTGTTTTCATGTGTGTCAACAGGAGACACCTGAGCCAGATCGAACCAACATCTACCGGTCCTTGGTGGTCAATACCTCCAAAGAAATGATGTGCTTCAGTGATTTTCCAATGCCGTCTGACTATCCCAACTTCATGCATAACTCACAGCTTCTGCAGTACTTCAGGCTCTATGCTGAACACTTTGACCTGCTTAGATACATTAACTTTCAGGTAGATGGCATCTCATCAGCTCAAGTATTCTATGAAAGCAGTGTTGTTGATATTAATGTATATTTTTCTGTGAATGTGGGCATGCACACCTCAGACCACAGTGAGGAGTGTTTTGCAAAGGCCGGATTTCTCTCTATCCGGCCAATGGGAAGTAGTGACCATAAACAAGAACGGACAGGAAGAGAGGCACATCTTTGATGCCATTCTGGTGTGCTCAGGTCACTACACCCATCCAACATTACCATTGTCTGACTTTCAAGGTAAATAAATGGACATCTTAGAGTAATAGTATTTAAATCATGACATTCTTGGAAAAAATGTTTTCCTTGTGACTGTAGCAAAATCTGTATTCCTCCAGGGCATGAAACCTTTTCTGGCAGGTGTCTTCACAGCTGGGAATATAAAGATGCAAATGCCTTCACAGGAAAAAGGGTGGTGGTGGTCGGCACTGGCAATTCTGGAGGTGATATTGCTGTGGAGATTAGCAGATCGGCCGAGAAGGTGAAATGCAAACGTTTGGTTTGTCACGGAGGTACCGGACTGAGAGAGATGATCAAATGTCGACTGTACCGCTTTTGTATCGACAGACCTTTCTCAGTACACGTCAAGGGGCCTGGGTGCTGGGCAGGATGTCCACCAATGGCGTTCCTCTCGACATTGCAGTAATCAAACGGATCAACAATGTCCTCTTCCAATTGCTCCCCAAGACTTTGGTCAACTGGGCAGCAGAGAGAGCACTGAACAATAAATATGACCACATATTGTATGGTCTAAAACCCAAACACAGGTAATGTACGTGCTTTTGAAATAGTCGTCACAACTTCACGAAACTTTAAAAAAGACAGCACAATCCCCTCAAACCTGAAAGACACTTACAATTGTAATTCCTACCTAATAAAGACGAAAATTAATCAGAATTATTTCTATATTGTTTCTTGTCTGACATAAGTCTTTCTCGAGTTTTACTCATAATTTCATCAGTACCAGCATGGCATGAGCTAACAATTAGACAACAGCATCTGTACAACAGAGACTTCACTACTTTACTTCTTTCACAGACTTATGGAGAGAAACCTTATGATCAATGACGATCTCCCAGGCCGAATCCTTCAGGGGGCAATAGTCATGAAGCACAATCTGGAAGGGTTCAAGGACTCTAGAGTTGTATTTGAAGATGGCACGGTGGAGGAGAACATTGACGCCGTGGTATTTTGCACAGGTTACATTGCAAAGTTCCCATTCCTACCATCAACTCTGTCAGAGGGACCATATGAAGAGGTGACACTGTACAAGTAAGTTTATGGTGGACAGAGTGGATCACTGACTTGCATGGGTATCCTCTCAAAGTCTAGAGATTAAAGTTTGAATCATACATGATACGTTTTTTGGGGGTTGGTGCTGCAGGCAACTTTTACAGTGCTATCATATTAAAATTCTTAAAGTACCACCACAAAGTTTTATCTTTCATGTTTTAGGAGAGCGTTTCCTCCATCCCTGCAACCTCCCACACTGGCCGTCATGGGACTTTTCCAAGTAAAAGGTCCACTCATGCCTACAGTGGAAATGCAGGCTCGCTGGGCTGTTAAGGTCTTTTTAGGTAAACTCTTCAAACAAACACATAAGCTTGCACGGGGTTTGAGGAAATAGTAGCTGAAACATCATATCTTTAAGGTCAGAGTCGTCTTCCAACCAAAGAGAAAATGCTGGATGCCATTGAATCTGAGAGGAGGAGAAACATGCAAAGGTAAACATCATTTCTGAAAGTTATTAAATGGCCCTGGTCGATTACTTATTCCCACTAAGTCCTGTTAATGACACAAGCAAATATTTCTTTCTCAGCTATCCCTGTCCACGGCAGGCTGTTCTACAGGTTGATTACATCCCATATCTGGATTTTATGGCTGGGGAAGTGAGTTCACTTTAGCTATAAATAAAATTTTCAACATTAATCATAGACAAATCCTTCATAACAGATTTTTATTCACAGGTAGGTGTTCGACCAAAACTCCTGAGGCTTTTTCTGAGAGACCCTGTGCTCTGGGCAAAGGTCTTCTTTGGTCCCTGCACACCTTATCAATATCGTCTTAGTGGGCCTGGAAATTGGTCTGGTGCCAGACAAGCTATCTTCACTCAGTGGGAGCGGGTTTCTCAACCGTTCAGAACCAGAGAAATACCAGACAACACCAGTAAATTTGGCTTGTGTTCTCCGCTGATGCTCACATTCACAGGAACTGTAATAATAGTCGTGCTTTTTTCTAAAGGCAAGATCGTTACGACCCTGGAAGCTGCTACTGAGATGCTGAACAAAAGCACAGTTTTTCTGAGGGAGTTGTGGTTCAGCTTACCACAGAATCCTGATATGTAATGTATTAATAGACTTAATTAACATAACAACAATTTTAACAACAAAATTATTTAACATGGATTAAAGAGGAAAGAAAACAGGTCTGTGAATAACAGAAAATCTGTTTATTTTTTATTTCTGTGTATTCATTTCCTGCTGGCCTGCAGGGAAAGAGGAGATAAATTGGGAGTCTCCTTTTCTTGTCGTAGTGTAAAAATCATGTGCTGCAATTATGTAATATTATACAGTTGTAAAAGTACCTTCCAGTTCCAAAGGTCTGCATAATCTTCACACTGAGGCCTGCAAATGCAAATGCAAAAGGAAAAAAGAAGTCATGCACACTACAGTGCAGTTGGAGTGATTCTTAAAAACTATGTGGTTCAAACAAATGGACGGAAGTCTGAAATAAAAGAGGAAATTAAGTTTATATGTGCAAGGCTCATGTCAGAGAAAATGATAACCAACTGCAGAAGATTTTGTTAATGAAATGTTCAGTGATAGATAACAGTGCATTATGTGTATTTTGATTGACTCCTTAATATGTCGAATAGCCTGCAGTTCATAACAAGGTCCACGGGGTGTAGATTTGTCACCAAATGCATATCTAAATTTAGATGCACCATCAGATATCTTTGTTTGCTTTGACAGTTTTACTTTAGATTATACCTTTAGGTTTCTGTTAACTAAAAAAAATGAACCTTTAGTTTCTGGGTACTGATGATGATAGCAGTGTGTGCCATTTAAAATATGTGAAAATGTACAAATGCACCATTTTCTACCTGCAGTTCTTCTTGTCTAACACTCATGAAAAAAGCAAATAAACACATTGTCTAAAATACTGAAAAAAATGTTTTCATTTATATAAAACTTATATAAAACCAAAAACTTAAACAGGCAGACCAATAAAAGAGGTCAACTCAATAAACTAAACTCAAAATAACAACTAACAAAACATCAAACAAACATAAGACAAACTGACTTCTGAAATGACACAGGGGGAACTTAAATACTGGCTTAGCTAAATGGGGGGGGGGGGGGTGACCATATAACCAATTAACACAAAAAAATTAAACAAACTCCAAACACCCCCCAGGCAATGAAGCACGTGGTTTAGTCCAATGAGGCTGTCAGCAGTACTTCAGATCTCCCACACCTTTTGCCAGCCAGGAAGGAGAAGCCAAAACCCCAGGTAGCTCAAACAAAGAAAGATGTAACATAAAACAGAACTTTGACCTTACAGCGTTGATATGTGTGCACCCCATATTAATATTGGAAGGTATGAACAGGAAAAAAAAAAACTAATTTAATAAGGAAACAGTATATTTGAAAATAAGTGTAGTGACTGCAAAGTAAACTAAAGTGAAGCAACTAGTGGTGAGGTGTGGAGCTTGCCATGTGTGGCTTGCCATCACGGGCCCTAAACAGGAAACCCAGCGTTTTCTGTTTATGGAGAACAATGCAACCAGGCCCTGTAGTGTGTTATGTGTGTGTTGTCATTCATGTACAGTCTCAAGAAGTTAAAACTGCTGACCTCCCTAAAACATCCATGGTTAACCTGGGACCTCCCAAAAACTGCTAAATTAGAGCTAATCCAAAAGAACTAAGTCCAAAAGGGCAAGTAAGGAGATACAATCATCTATCTTGCTTAAGGTTGAGTTGGCATATTGTAACTCCAGTGTGTCTGTTGAAGCTCCAGTGAGGAGTAGATTATGGTTTGCAGAGTTAATGCTAAAGAAAACCACTTCGATATTAATGCTGGTATTTACTTGGAATCTGATGCTTCCGTGCACAAAGGCCCTCCCACTGGAATTTAAATTATTGCTGTTACTCAAAGACACTGACTTGAGCTCATAACAATGCTTTATTTGGCCACTTGAGCATTACTAAGACATATAAATTAATAATAATATATTTCCTATGGGCCTGGATTGAAGTCAGATGTTATATTTTCATACTTGTCACATATGTCACATAATCATGTGATTCCTCCTGTACCTCCTATTAGTACTACTATTACTTCATTTGGGGAACTTTTTGTTACAGCATGAAAATCAATGGAGGAACCCCTTTTTTGCGACTAATGTTATTAATCTGTGTTTTACAAGTGAAAATCTCTACAGTAAATTAGGTCTGTTTGCTCCAAACACTTAGGTATTAGACCAAATCACAGCACCATTGCTAAGGACAAGTAAAACTAATTGGATTCATTTTTGCAGGAAAACTGAAGAAAATGTAAATGTGCAGCTTTTCAAAGTAAGATGTCATTTCAGTCTCATTCAGCACTTCTCTGCATGCTGCTGAATTTAATGTAATTATCCTTGATTGACTCAAGTAATGAAAAAAAGGCACACTCACATGCAAGTTAACAACTCCAAAACAATGGGTGTGAAACAGTCATGCTATAAACATAAAACTCAACCATTTTTCAAACTGCAAACATCTGTAACAGATCAGCTAGCTGTGCAAGCATGGTTCAGAGAGTGGCAGTGATCGGTGCAGGACCCCCGGGAGTGACGAGCATCAAAGGCTGTCTGGATGAAGGTCTGGAGCCCACATGCTTTGAAAGCAGTGATGACATTGGAGGTCTTTGGAGATTTAAGGTGGGAAACAATGGGGTTTTTGGGGAGGATATAAGTGAGAGCATATTGAAGTGAAGCTTAACATTCAAATTGTTGAATCGTTTCTTGCAAGGTTTACTGTTTTTAAATACAGACACGTAAATGGAAGTTCAAAATTTAGAAAAGAAATTGTAAAAAAAAAAAAAAAATGTAAAAAAACGAGCTTTTGAAAAAAGTTGAAAAATTAGTTGCTTTAAATTCTTGAATCATGTATTTCAAACAACCTTTGTTGGGAATATGTGACAATGTGATCTGCAGTGCTATTTTTTCTGTAGTGACACACACAGAGATGCAGCTTTGCTGAGAATGACTTGTGCAACGTTAAAGCAGAGATCCCAGAAAATGTACTTAACTGGCTGGTCTAACATGGATCAAGTGTTAAAATGAAGAGCAGTTCAGTCATTTTGATACTGAAGCGAAGTGCAGAATCTGTTCCCAGCTGTTTTGTGGTTTTAACAAAAGCTACATTACTAAAGTAGCTTTGTAAAATATAAATTCCTTAATGCACTGCTCATACATCAATTCAAAGTTTAAAATAAACAATTTAAATTTCACTGGAGTGAAGGAGAGAGATGGTATCAAAGTTGGAGAGAGTGGGCAACTATCCCACAGAAACGTATGAAAATAGAGAAGACACATCCAGGGATTAAGAGACCTGTAAGACACTGACAGAGTTTTGAAATATACTTAAAGTCAGAGTTTAAATAGAAGCAAAGTTGCATTGTGTTTCGTTTTTTGTCTTTATGTTCTCCTCCTTCAGGAGAAGCCAGAGCCGGGGAGGGCCAACATCTATAAGTCAGTGATCATCAACAGCTCCAAAGAGATGATGTCTTTCAGCGACTTCCTGCCTCCTGCTGACCTCCCTAACAACATGCACCACTCTGAGGTCCTGCTGTATCTGCGTCTGTATGCTCAGACGTTCAACCTGCTGCCACACATACGCTTCCAGGTCAGTGATCTTCATAAAGAAGAAAAAACAATAATTATAGTGTCTGCTTTATAGCACAGGCGTAATGATGTCTTAATAATGTCTTGCCGGTAAATGTTGCAGATGAATGTCAGTGAAGAATATTTATCAGTGTCTGTGTTTGTGTCAGACTACTGTAATCAGCGTGAGGCAGACGACAAATTTTGAAGTGACGGGTCAGTGGGAGGTGGAGACGGAGAGCAGAGAGGGTCAGAGGGAGACCCGTGTTTTTGATGCCGTGATGGTTTGCACTGGACATTTCACCCAGCCTCACCTGCCACTCAGAGACTTCCCAGGTAAATTTAAGAAATGCAGCAGCTGCTCTTGCTCCAACACAACAGATGTCACACACTGTGTTGTGTGTTAATGTTTCCAATGGTGGTTGAAATGACTGACAAATATTTATATTTAGCGACAAATTCAGTATTTATTTATTTTTAATCATTCCAGGTATTGAGAGTTTCCGAGCCAAATATTTCCACAGTTGGGAATACTGCAGTGCTGAGGGTCTGGAGGGGAAAAGGGTGGTGGTCATCGGGATTGGGAACTCTGGTGGTGATATTGCTGTGGATGTCAGCAGGGTTGCGGAGAAGGTAAGCTGCTGTGCTACATTTCTTTACTTCTATGTTGTATTCAAAAAGAACAGTGATGTTTATGAATACGAAAGCACTGTATTCTTAAAGGAATATAACTCGTGAATCTGAAACCTCCTTGTGCTGACATGACCTGCAGGTGTACCTCAGTACCAGAAGTGGAGCATGGGTTGTTGGCCGTGTAGGGCCAGGGGGACTTCCACTAAATGTTGTCAGGAGTTCTCGAATGGACGCACTGATACGAAAGCTCTTCCCCTCATGGACCAACACAATGTTGGAGAAGAAGCTGAATCAAGCGCTGGACCACAAACTATATGGCCTGAAACCGAAACATGGGTAAAAGCATGGTCAAACGTTTGAATTAAAAATACATCATCATAACCGAGAACTTCAAAAATTATGTGTTAAATGTTCCAAAGGAATTGTAACAAAAGGTAAATGCAAAACTAAAGT